TTATTTAATTTACACATATTTTAATATTTAATATTTTAATAAGAATATTGGTATGAATTAATGACATCTGAAAGTAATTGTTGTTGGAGGATACTAAGGGCTTACTTTTGAAATACTCAATGATAAATAAATTTACTTACGTGAAAAGAAACAGCATAAAACTAAGACCTTGTATATTTAAAAAAAAAAAAAAAGCCGAAACCACCACCAAAAAAAAAGCCCAAACACCAAACCCCCAAAACCTAATTATGTAGCTAGGTGAGATGCTAGTTATTCAGATGTGAAGTAAAAACCTAAGTACATCAATTGAGACACCTATGCTGGTATTTAAAAAGTTTTAGGCATTAATTTAGCAACATGACAAGTTGGACAAGTGAGATGTGCTTTGAATGTCTTGCTAAATCAAGGCTCATACCTAAAGTTAACATGCTCTGTTTTCCTACTCTTCTGTAGTCTTGAACTTTTCGAAATGTTTTCAGTTTGAAATAGTGAATCTCCACCAAACACCACAGTTTGATGTCATCTCAAAGGATTATCTCATTATAAATAAGAGGAGAGTCATTGTAATTTATGTGTAGAAATGCAAATAAAAGCTGTACAGAGTCTCTTTACTACTTTTTATAATTATTAATGTAGGGGTGTGAAATTAAAACAGATTACGGACCTTTATTGCACACGCTGGCTGAGTTTGGATGGCTCCTGACCTGTGTCCTGCCTACACCTATCGTACGACATGACAGGTACCCGAATAATAGATGACAGCACTTTTGGTGTGTACATCTCTGAGAATTATCAAGTGATTACTTGTGTACTTAAATGTAACAGGAAGAAAAATGCTAATAATGTTAACTGCATCTAAAACTTGAGATGTAAGTAGCATTATGGTGGAATCTTTTTTACCACACTGTTTTAGGACTGCTGACTTCAATGAGTTTCAAACTAGACCAATAATCCTAAATTTAAAATACATTCTTTAGATATAAACATTAATAATTTTATTAAACTTTTTATCATATACCCAGTTCCTAGCAATGGGGCAGCAATGGGGTTACTCATATACTTCAAGTTTAAACAAGTGTTGAAATGTTTCACTAATTTAGGACCTTGGTGAATGACTGGTTTAGGCTATGTAAGAAGTCATGTTGTCACAAGACAGTCATGCAGTATTTATTGCAAATTAGGGAGGAGAATGTGCTAATCCAGCAAGTTATTGGGCTGTTTCTGTTCTTCTTTAATGTAGACATTATGTTTCATTTCAAACATAGTACCAAACTACTGGATTCCAGTTCTCTTACTGCAGTATTTATTTAGATGACTGAAGGGGATCTATATACATAGGAGGAGCTAAATAGCAGACCTGGCCCTGGATCCCCTATAAGGTTCCAGATTGTCCTCCCTCCCTCCCCCCTACCCTCTCATTTAATTCTCCTTGCATTAGATTAAGATTGCCAAGGTTTGAAAACAAACAAATGTACGGAGAATGAGTGACTTTAGTAATCTTTGGATCCAGACCTCGCTGTATTAAATCAAGACAGCATGAAAAAGGATGTGAATGAAAGGTTCTAAGAGAACTGCTCCAGGAAAGTGGAATTTTGTTCAAGTGATTTGGCATAATTAAATCAACTCGCCATGTGAGAAGGAGGTTTTTCTGATCAGGAAATAGTTTGGAATTTTTTTGTTTTGGCTGTGTGGTCTTTTTTAATAGTTGATTTTAACCAACTGGTTAAAAGCAAAGACAGAAGAAGTTGTGGTAAAACATATGGCATGTTCTGCGGATTTTTTTAAGGATCTCTGTATGTTGTGTTTTCTCCTGAAACTTATGAAATTCTGAGCTTGTAAAGCTCCTGCTCCAGAGAGAAGCAGTTTTCAGAACATGAAACAAAATGGTTATCCTTTAATTCATTTCTTCAAACAAAATTTTGTAGTCTAAGTGTACTAGCTTTGAACTTGGTGACTTGTTAAGGGTATGTGAACCACTGAGCCTGGTTTTCATAAACAGCTGAAATTTTTGGCCAAATCTTAGAGCTTGACAGTAAGCCTTCGGGATCCGGATCTACTTCTTGAAGGATGCGATTGGACAATGGGAGAGAAAGGTTTTAGTAGCCATGGTGCGCTGTGGGTCATAGGATGAGAGTGCGGTTTTAACCTCAAACCTCTTCTATCCCACAAGCAGTGTAACTGTACCCATCCCTGTAGGGTTTGGACGGCAGGAACCAGATTGTCCTGAGCAGCTGCTGGTCAGCCGCTCTGAGTATCTGTGCTTGCAGCAGGCAAAACAATGTATTTTTGTACCTCATAGATTGCTGAGCAAGGGCAGGGCCATTTAAAAGAAGTAAGTGCTGTAAGGAAAAAAAAAAAATAGGAAAAAGTGCTGTAGGAAGTGCTGCCAGATTCATTAGACTGGACCTGTTCCTTGAACTAATAAGAAGGTAATATACCAGCAAGATATTTAAGTTGCGCTAGATGCCTGAAGTAGCATTGCTTCCCAGATGTGAAACAACCAGCCCATTAATAGCTGTGATCATGCAAAAGGGGGTTGTAACCTGGCCAAAGCTGAAGTTGGATTCATTTTGTAGCAACACTAGAATAATTCAGACTAATGAAAAGCATTTTTTTTCTGGCCTAAAGGGTTGGGTAGGTGTCTGCATGAATTATCTAATACTTGTTGTCCTAGTGTGGCTTGAGAGATACTTTTGGAAGAAATAGGATAAATCACATTTTGTGTGCCTGTCATGTATCTAATATACAGCTATTCAGTTTTCAAAAAAAGTTTAAAAAAAAAAAAAAAACCAACAAACATGAACACAAATTCCTAATTAGGAATCAAGAATTCTTAAGAGTCAAAAAAAGAATGTGTTTCTATCCTGATAGGCTAAGTAGTGATTGATAAATACTATTTTTAGTCATTGATGTTGGTATTTACAGAGGAGAAGTTGTTCCTGGATGATTACTATGTGTCTGATATGAAAGATGCCATTACTGTGATGGTGGATTATCCTAGGAATGCAAGTTAAATGTCTCGATAAAGAAGGACACTTTATGCTGCCTAACAGCTGTTCTTTTACCAGACTTAGAACTCTGACCTCAAACCCCAGCCTGAATATTAACAGGCTTCAGAAACACTGAACAAACAAAATGAGCAACATTTTGGGACGATCTGGCAAATTAATGTTTTCATATTTATTTAAAAAAAAAAATTCAGACAAAGTATGTAAAGAAAATTCTATTTAAGAATAAAATATGTTAGCAGGGCAGCCTGCTCCCCATTTTTATTCACCTTTATATTTTGTTCTAGTCTCTGTTTTCCTCTTCTCCTAATTTATTGCAAAATTTTCCTTCATCTCGGATCTTCTGTGATCTGTTCCTTGCCGTTATGCCCATGCTTGTCTGCAGATGAAGAGTGTGACCAACAGGCTAACAGGTTCTGGGGTGTGACAGGACTGGCATGCACTGATGTGTCCTTTTTTTGTTTTTTCGGGGTTAGGAAGATGTTCCCCTCCGTAAATTAACATGTCATGTTGCATGGAGTGTCATGCCACGTGGTAGCTGGATGTCACGGATCACTGTCCCGTTTCAGGCAGGGGCAGCAGTCTGTACGCCTCTTTAGTCCTTTAACTCCTGCCACAAGGGCTAAATCACGTTGGATGCAGGAAACATTTCCTTGAGAAATGTTATCTTTGCCGTTACAAACAGAGCAAGGGTAGATGTCATATTCTTGAAACATGCAGAGCTGCTTTTTTGTGCACTGTTGTCTGAAAAATAAGCACTGTGGGGTTTTGAGGTGGTTTTTTTTTGGTCAGCACACTGTAAAACCCACAGAAGTTCCCCTCTTCTGCCAGTGATTCTCTTTTTCCAGGGATATGAGAAAACAACATGAAAAAAAGTGCATATGATGTAATGTTTGTTGTATCCATCTGTATCTTGGGTATTTACATTTTGTCAGCAGTCAAAAAGAATTTTTTTTACGAAAAAAGTATATAAGACAGACCCACAAATGATGTTAGTGACCCAAAGAGCCTCCTGCATTATACAACTCTTACTTACTAGGTAAATGTTTTCAAGACAAGCATTTGAGAGTAATTATGCCAAGTTTAGAAGCTATATAGCAAGAATAAAATGAATAGTCCTTTTAGGAGTTAAATCTAGTGATTGGGCGGGGGGGGAAACATTAGAAAATACTTTGCTGGTAACTTAGTGCTACTGCAACTACTAATATGATATCGTGAGTTTGTAGAATTTCATACATGTTTGAGGTCTAAAATTAGAATTATTTATAAGGGGTTTTTTGTCCTGTTTTGTGGGTTTGTTTGGGTTTTTTTTATTTTCATTAAACAGATCCTTTAAGCCAGGAGACTTATCCCAAGCTGGTGTGTGTCTCATAACTGAAAGTCTAGATGCAGTGCAATTCCAAAGGAGTGGAAAACTTTATTTGGGGAAATGAAAAAAAAAAGGGAGGGGCGGGAGGTTGAGTTTAAAAGAATTTATTATCTTGCTCCTTTTTTTTTTTTTTCATTTATCAGAACACTTTCTCTAACCTTAATTTTAAACACTTTGTATGTAAAATGTTCATGCATAAAAAATAGACCTGTAAAAATCTGAGCCATAGGCAGTACTAGTTAGCTTCTAGCTTGATGATTGTTTTGGGGGACTTACTAAATATATACATATAATAAGAGGACAAATTTATTGCCCATACAGCATAAGCAGACAAGCAAATTGCTGGTGTTTTAACAAAAGAGTCTCTGTTGCTCTTCATCCCTTTTAAAAGAAGAGACAGGAAAAAGGCTTCAGCAGCCTTACTCTGCAATGACCTTTATTTCCCCTCACTGATTACTGTAGTCCCTGAAAATGGGCAAGGCAGACTGTCTGTGGGCGCCAGAAAGCAAGCAGGCAAATGTGGTGCAAAAACACTGACTTTGTGGTTATTAGTTTATCATGACAAACTACTTAATCTAAGCTTTCAAAATCCCCTGACATATGAGGCAAAGATGGAATGTGGAAATGTGAGGGAAGCTATGGAGTGGCTTGCTCTAAGCACTTTTTCTCATTTAAATTCTGTGGAAATCCCACTGTCATTGAGTTCTTTGTGAATTAAGCTCATAGCCGCTTTGTCGTGTGCGGCATTTTAATAAGGTCAGACTTAGAAAATTGTTAATTTACTTATTGTCTACTCACCATCGTGTCCTTTCTCTGTTCTAGTAGAATTTGTACAAGCTGTAGTTTAATGTTTGGGGTTTTTCTCTTCTCTGAAGGAGCGCAGACACTGTTACAAAATAAGCTGTAGGTTCTTCCCCATGCCAGGGACTGTGCTCAGCCTTCTCACTCGAGAGATTTCCCAGTTGATACTATCAAAACAGACATAACTGAGGCAGGGAGAGATACCTAGCCAAATGGAATAAGGTTGCAGGATTGCTGACTTCTTGTCATAACATAAAATTGTAACATGTTTTCTTTTAATGAGTGCAAATAGTGAGGTAAGGATTCTCAGAGCAGGAAACCTTGTTAACGTAAGGAAACTAATGAGTTCGGTCTCCTGCCTCCTTCTTTTCCCCACAAGCTGGAGTTTAAGACAGTTCTCTATTCTCATCCAAGGAAGACACGCAAAGATATGCCATGACCCGTGTTCAGCTGGATTGAAAGGAAGATTGTGAGGGGCCAAACACCATCACAAAACCATCAGCACTGACTGTTGATCAGATATAGCTAGGTATGCTAGGAATAGTGTATTAGTTTTGTGTATTTTCTCAGAACTTACTTCCAGGAGCTCTACCGGGGCAGGCTGTTAACAAGCCCTTCCTGATCTCACAGGAACAGTTCTAGTCCCTGATTTTTCTTGGAGCAAGTCCCTAATGTTAAATATAAATTAATTCTGTCAGTCCTAGCCCTGGCATAAAGGATGAATCTGTTACCTCAGCTTTGTGTGTGTGGTTAAGATTGTGACATACCCATACTGAAGTACAAACTTATATTATTTTAGTAGTTCTTTCCATAATGTTGTGCATAATAATACTATTTTGTGATAGAATAGATAGAATCATAGATACTTCAGATGAACTCACTATATGCCTTGTGTTTCTATTTCGCTGCTTTAGTGCACTCTTAAATCTGCAGTCGCTTTTCTGCCAATGTATTTCAGTGTCTTTCATTTATATGCACAAAGATCTCATTGAATACTGCCCAGAAGTAGGAGTCGGGGGGGGGGGGAAGAAGAAGAGTTTGTCAAAATGTAGTATCTGATATTTAGAAGAGTACAGGAATTTTTTAAACCCTCCCATTCTAGAGCTCTGGTCTTACAATTCTTGCACTCTTTCAGTGCCACAGAGTCAGGCTTTGTAGTACATATGCAATCAATGTGCTGACCTGTATTTCTGGTGGAAAGGTGATGAAAATAAATACATAAAAAACTTCAAGGGGATGTATCACCAATAGTAAAAGAGCGTAACAGTTTTGAAACATCAGTAGCATCTGATTTGGTTTTGAGGAAAAACTTTGCCTTTTCACATTTATTTTTCTGAAAGTGTTTCCTTTTGAAAAAACAAAATTAACAGTGCATCTTTAAATTATATGTACCACAAAAGCATCAATACTTGTAAAAGTTCCAGGACTGAAAACTGAAGTCGCTCCTTTTTTTTTTCCCCTCCTTTACTTACCTTACTACTTTATTCTCTTGTCCTTCCTATGCATGTACCTCCCACGTACAGAATGGACAGTGTCATTTATCTCATTGTGGATGTAGAGCTTACAAAAACTGAGCTGTGTCCTTTTATCCATAGGTGGTGAGACCACAAGCTTATCCTGCTGTGTCAGTTAGATGTCATGTTACAACTGGAAAACACCTTTTAGTTAGCAGTAAAGAATGTTACTTCCCAAGTTTCATACCACAAAGTATTGAGATTTGTTGAAGCTGTGGATCTGTTGAGATCGGGCCTGTTTGTGGTGGTGTTAATAGGTAGTAATAGGTTACTGTATATTTGACAGTGGAGAAAGAAAGTCTCTTTGAGGTTAATTTCAGACATAAAGATACAGACTTTGATTAAGTAGGAACTCTGGTACTTAAACTTCCAAGAGAAGACCCTGAAAAGAAGATGTCCTTGCTCAGTGCAGGGGGGTTGGGCTAGGTGATCTCTACAGGTCCCTTCCAACCCAAAGCATTCTGTGATTCTATGATTCTAAGTCATGTTAAGTAACTCTAATCCTAGTAATACAAATTTTTGTTTTATACCTATTTTTGTGTGCAACATCTTCACCCAACTCTATGCTTCTGTTTTTTAATGCGATTACAGTACTGTTTAGGAATTAATAAACCAGTTAATGCTTGGTAGTCTATCCTCTTCTCACTCATGGACTTATGTACACACAACTTACAGTTGACTCTGAAGGTATAAACATGTTACAGTGACTATTGTTGACTTTAAAATATTGAAACAAATTTCTTTAAATTTTAGTGAAGGAAATCTGGCTACAAAGCAAGTTGTTTTTCTTCAGAGACCTGTTATGTGGAATTCTGCTGCCCAGACACCAGAGGTGAGTAACATGTTTATGGAATTAATATAAACAAATTAGTGCTTCACATAATGATTAGGTACAGAAACAAACTATACTTCAAAATTAATGGGAAAAGAGGCACAATAGGGTTTGACTTGAAACAAGTTCAAGTTTGTAGAGGGCTTTTGCAGCTGAACTCATATGTTATTTTTTTCCTCAGACTTACACCTCTTAAATTAAGCCATAGAGAAAAGCATAAGCGTGCTAAAAACCTGTTTTGTGCTAATAAATTTCTGTGTCTCAGGTGGGTGAGGTTGGCTATGCTGTAAGTATTTCTTTAGAAGTCTTTAGGAAGTCTTAAATGTTCTGATTCAAATCCTGGATCTCTTGCACACGAGAAAGAAAACATTTTTTTGACCTCCAAAACATCTACTTTCACAGTTCTAGAAGAATACAAGTGTCAAGTTGTGCAAGGGATACTGTAATCTGGAGGTTAACAGGGTGAAGGGCTGTTGGCTGTTGCTGCATGAAAATGTGTGACAGAAATAGAGGATTTTAAATTCCTGCAGCTGGACCTCAACAGCTCTGTGGCCTGGTTGAGTGAGGCTCCCGTAACAGTAGTTGTATACAAGTGCTTTGAGGATTAAGTAACTGGCAGTCACCACATTCTGCTCAGAGTCAAGGTCACATCAGTTACTGTGCCTGTATAGCCCTATGGTAAATCCTGCTGTGGCCAGAGAAGGATGAACTGGTGGGCTTTTCTTTGCCAAGTCTTTCAACGTCCTGTGATAGACTTTTAATTTTTGTTATTTGTGATTTTTCAATGGCTATTCAACCTTTTTCTAATCAACACAGCTTTTCTGTGATAGTCTTAAGCAGCTGTGAAAACTATGGACGTTTTCACTTATGTCCAGTACCAGAGCAGCAACTTTACCAACTCTGTCATTCGTGGTATTGTATACCACTGTAAGGCAATGACACCTAGTCTCTTCTTTCTCCATCTGTATAAATAGTTCCATGAATCTCTACCTTTCTTGCATTCACATTTGATCTTTCTCTGTCCTTTTTACATTCTATCCAGACTGTTACCATCATCTGTATTTTCCTCTGCTTGGTGTTTCTAAAATATGCTCTTTTTTTTTTTTCCTTCTTCTCCAGGCTTTTGCTTATCTAACTTCCGTCTCACTGTGTCCCCTGATAATTACTACTTCCATGCCTGGAATAACTGCATTCAACATGCACAATTAAAATCCTGTTTTATTTTTTGTGTCTACCCCCATCTCAATTCCCAGCTAGGTCTTGTATGTTATCTATAATTTATTTCCTCTTTTACAAAATTTGAGCTCCTTCTTTTTTTCTCTTCAGTGTTCTGTGTAGTCTCCCCTGCCGATGTCTTAAACTTGTCTTCCGTTCATGCCCTCTTCTAAATTCTGCCAGTTCCTCATACAGTTGCTTCCTTTACTTTCCCCATGTACCAAGCATCTTCAGCTTTTAGCTTTCAAAGCTTCTGACCCCTGACCCCATGCCTGACTTTGTAGTCTTTACATTCTTTCATAATATATTTTCTGATACATTTCTGAAAGTATGTTTTGGAATGTAACTTTGATACCAGTATTGTAAATACATAAAACCTTATTATGTCGGTCATTATCAAATAAAGTCATACTTTTCCTGATGTTTCCC